GCACAACGATTTTTTTTACATTGGAAATGAATATTTAGTATGTATAGTGTATGTATTCAGTGGTCTTTTTTTTAAAAACGTTCCACTGCTGGGCACGGAAATTCAATACGAGGGGGTCAGGCCATAGTCCAACTGGCGGAAATGCGGGTTGGCGGACTTCAAATGTCTTTCGTTTAGTATCTATGCTAGGTATCTCGGAGATATAAGCGAGCTGCCGCAGGATATAAATTTCTAACTTAGGTAACGTGCAAGATTTGTAAATTGACATTATTATTATTATTTATGGCGCCATAGTAGGTCTGAAGCAATTTTTCATGCAATGGGATTAATTAGCTTGAGATCTTACTATGATTTTGATACCTATTGTTCAGGTAAACTTAATATTATTTAAACTTAAACTTTTGTTTTATTTCACATGCAGTTTTCGTATATTTATCGTTTCTCCTTTTCCCATACCTAATTATGACGACACGTTTGGCTCAGTTTGTAGCGACCCTACTTTCTGTGCCAGCGGTCGCGGGTTTGAGTCCCGCTGGGGGCATTCATTTGTGTGATGAGCATGAATGTTTGTACTCAGTCATGGGTGTGTATATTTATAATATGTATGTATTTAAAGTTATATATGTGTAGTGTATCAACTATCTGGTATCCATAACCCAAGCCTCGTAGCTCATCATGGAACTAGATGGTGCTGTGTGTTAATATCCCAACATATTTATTTATTTATAATATAAATAAAAACACGTTTCATCCTTGCCGCGAGATGTATACACATAAGTAGGTATGTCTCCGACTGTATAGTAGTTACTATATTCCTTCGTCAACTGGTTTTTATCTTTTTAGTTAGCTTTTATGCAGTCAGGTTTTTTATTTCTATAATATATTTTTTTATTTACAGCTTTTTATTTTTTGCCAATTAGACATTTAAAGTTATATTATTAAGATTTTTTTTATCCTAAATTACTTTTAAACATATAAGATGTATATATTTTTGTGATTGCCTCTTAAAGACCTTTATTTTGATACCGCACTCGATTGGTGTGAAAGAATTTTTTTTTTCAAAGACATTTTTTTAACTATTTTTATATATCCCATGACACTCGCGTTATCAAGACGGATCTAACTACTATGAATCACCAAAATCTGCCTACACGCCTAATCTCTAAAACGCCACATAGGAACAAACACACATACATACTTACATAAACTGATAAACACATTACCCTCCTTTGGGTCGCGCAGTCGGGTAAAAAGTCTTCTTAATTCACCTCTGTAATGCACTTTGCTACAGCTATCACTGGCATACGCACGGACTTATTTATATATTCTCATTTATGTATAATTTATAATCATTAGTGATTATAAAACAAAAATAATTTTTCATTACCGAATTCTAACACATTTATATTATTTTTATCACTTATATTTTTAAAGCGCCTGAAAACTAAAGTTTAAATGTATAGTTAAAAAGATTTAAAATAATATACACGGGTAAGATTCATCCATAAACATTGTACACGACCTTTGATATCTATAATTTGGCAAAACCGAATATTTTGTTGTTTAAATAATTGCATACTTAATTTACTCATTTCGAAATCTATTGACACCGCTTTGACATTAGTGCTTAAAAAAAACAACAGAATAAGTTAAACCGAATATAAAATAAAAAAACCAAACAAAACAGAAATAAAAAAATTGAACCGAATATCAGTTAAAAGATTTTTTTTTAACTATAAGCCATTATAGAAAAAAAAGGTTTTTTTTTTAGAATTTTATATACATGACGTAACTACTCTACGTGTATTCTAATACATACATACATCAGTACGCTACGGACCATTTAATATGTTAAAACGCTCTATTAAAATAGTTTAAACCCACTTGATACGGACATCGATTTATGAAATGAGGATTTGATCATTTGTTACAAATTACAATCATATCCTTATAAAGGAGTCGTTGAACCCTAATATGTAAACGTAGTCGTACAGCCCTTCCATCTACACATAGGTAAGTTTTGTTTATTTATAACTCGCGTTTTAATTAAGTACCTTAAAATAAAATGTTTATAATACGAGTAAGTTTACAAATTTGTAACGTTATCAAAGTTAGCAATAGCAATTTGACGTCGCGTCATCACAAAACATAATATTCTCAACTAGCGACACACCCTCGCTTCGCTCGAGTGGCGTCCCTAGGTACATTTTTTTTGAGTGAGAGTGGGACCCTAATTCTTTCTCTAAAATGAAATTAGTCTAAATTACTCCTTATAACTTCAGCTATATGCCAGTGAAAGTCCCGTCAAAATCGGTCCAGACGTTTCGGAGATTAGCCGGAAAAAACAGACAGACAAAAATTTTAAAAGTTGTGTTTTTCTTATAAGTACCGTATATAATTTCATATTATGCATTTAGTAAAAAAGCTGGTAATTTAACATTACAGACACTTTTTTTATCTGTATAGATGGTTCATTTGGTTTACGCTTATTCCTGTTTCGCAACGATAATATTTGTAGCACGAGTACTATTGTGTACATGTAGAGGTGAACGACTTAGATGCTATTAAAGCCGTCGTCGGCGAATGTCTGTAACGGTCTGCAGTGGTGCTAATTGTAAGATATTTTATTACGTCCACCTAAAATTTTACATGCGACATTTTATTATTTGGCAACAATACAATGTATGATTTTTGGACACATAAGTGGGCGGAATTGGCAGTGATCAAACTCGAGCAGACGAGTTCTTCGTTTGTCCACATCTTCTGCCAAATACGAGCTCCTAAACACACCTTCAAATCACCTTATTAAAATTTTATGAAAGTTTTCGCAGCTTTGAGAATTTTTTTTTTACATTCCCCAAATACAGAAGGAATAAAGGCATATTTTTATATATTATCTATTTAAAGTATGTAAAGGTATTTTGCACCAAAATATCTGGCTCTTTGCAGATAACCATTTCCATCCAGACGTTATGGGACTGTTGAATATAAATGCCTTATCGAGTACATATTTAATCTATTTCATTAAAACAACAAAGGGCAGGTATTCAATTCAAATGAAGTAAAATGTAATGAATAATAATAATGAAAGACAAGCACAATATCAAATAGTTTATGTAATTCAACTCATAAAGTGAAAGTTAGAATCTAGATTTAATAAATATCTATCTAGGTATGTATTTAGCCATTTTTATCGTCCCACTGCTGCGCACGGGCCTTCTTCAATGCGTGGGGGATCGAGGGATTTCCTCACGATGTTTTCTTTCACCGTTAGACAAGTGGTAATCATGTTGAGAATAATTCGCACATAAAATTTAAGGAGGTACCCAGTGGTAGCCCAATAGTAAGCCTTTTTTTAATAAATATGCATGTACATAATACATTGGGTTATGCCCCATGGTTTAGTACTGGTTGCTAGCTTTTAAAATAGCTGCAGATCCGGGATCGAACCAAGAACACCGAAACTTGTGCACTATAACATTTCCTGTACACATGGCTGGTCTCTGTAAGATCATTCAGTACAATATTGTGTAACTATGATGGCTTGCTACTTTGCCCGTGTATTCATTTCTATTATCAATTACTATGAGAATCGATCATTATAAAGTTAAATTTAGCTTTGTTTTTAACTCAATCTATGTATAATATTACAGCAAAAGTCTTATTTGAAATCGCTCAGCTGCTGTCCTACGAATTATAACTAAATGACAATTGGATATCACTAAGGAACAATTTGCAACATTTTAACTAAGTACCTATTGCAGTGAATATGAGTACGGACTTAAAATATGACTTTATTTCTTTTTTCTTTGCATTTGTTAAAATATGCTAAAAAGTATGGATTTAGCTCTCTTAAGTCATCAAACATGTTTTTTTTTAAATTTGAGTGTACGATTTTACTGCACCAGAAAAATACCAAAATTTTCAAAGGAAAGAACTGCTATGATAGTCATTGTACCCTTTGCCCTCTCTGTGTAATCTAAGAATGCTAAATGCAGCAATAAAACACTTAGGAATTATTTTCTCGTGTGCTTAATAAAGGTTTCCTGTACTTAAAGTTTGAGCACTATTAGCTAGACTTTCTTTGTACATTCAATACTTTTTGGAGTGTATCTTCTATTCAGAACTCAATTTTGTTGATATATAGATATAACTAACAATGCCTGCGGGTCCGCCCGCGTTCAGATGACCAAAAATCAAATTCTTAGGTTTTACATATTAGTATACTCTTTCAATGCAGTTTTTGTATTTTTTCTCAGAAATGAGACATTTTCCCGCGGTAAAAAGTATCCTATATGTTGACCCGGATAACCAGCCATCATCATACCAAATTTCATCAAAATCTGTCCAGTGGTTTTCTCGTGATGCGGTAACAGACAGACAGACAAAAATTCGAAAAAATATAGATTCGGATTCTATATCGATAATAATGTCTATTTCAATTAGATTTTCCAAAAAATATTTAATGTACAGATTCGACTTCTGTTGTTTGATCGCCAATATAAGGTATCAGCATGCCAAATTTTACTAAATTAGGTGCATAAGTTGTTGTGTACTGAGATGTATAAGTTACTATAGTTATTTTTAACTATCCCACGGGAAGTCTTTAATTTTCCGGGATGAAAAGTATCTAAGATTCGACTGCTACAGTTTTATTATAGTATAGATACTAGTAAAGAGTAAACATCGATGGAAGATATTGTATCCTTTCACGTGTGGAATTGAGATTAATGACTTACATGCGGGCTATCTTTAACGTTGTCAATAAAATAAATAAAATGTAATTGGATTGGATGATATTTATAAGAGCAACTGTTGTGTTTCTCGCTGATTCTTCTCAGCAGAATTACTTTCCGAGTCGGTGGTAACTTCCTTACGGACTGACGAAACGCTGTTTAAATTAAATTGACGATTCAGAAGTGCTTGTATAAATCTACTTGAATAAAGTTTAATTTCTTTAAGTTAACTACTACAGTTTGTTTTTATCTATTTTCATTCAGGTGTGAGATGCTGCGTGTCATCTACCGTGAGATACTGGCACGCGAGCTGGTGGGGCGCGCCTGTGAGGGACTTACATCAGACACTGTGGGGCACTTTGCCAGAAATACTCGCCTCAAGTAATTTAAACTTTAGCAGGTAAGATTTTTACCTAAAAACCGTGATGTCTAAAAAGATGACTAATATCCCGCACTGGTTTCATGGAGATTTAATATGATTCATATACATAATCATATACAATCTTTATTCATCAATTAGTGACTTACTAAACAAGCAAAGCCGCGGGCAAGAGCTATTCAGTTTATATATTATGATTAAGAGGATTTTGAAGTAGTCGGCGCGAGTAGGTTTTAAAAAAAAATGCTATCTGTTTCGTACCTCTCGTTCTGCCTCCCTCCGAGCGATAGAGAGAGTTGCAAGTGTTGGAGGCAATTACCTAAGTTTCCTTTTTGAAATATTATTTCGGGCGATAACGTTTTCAACCTCCTCAAGTCTAAACCTTTACGAAATATAATAAGATATATATACTCATTAGATTCAGTACACCTTAATCAGGTCTGTGTGTTTTTCATTATTTGTAATTCAGTTTAGTTTAATTAAAAAAAAACGCTCGAGGAATTTATTAAGTCAAAAATATAGATGCTAATAACTTCTATAGTACGCAATATTTCTTGAAAATAAAAACTTACGGGTCTAGTTTTTCATTATATCTACAAAATTTCTAAAAATTATGAAAATTAGACTGTTGTTAGGGGGAAAAGTTTTTATATGAAAATTTACAGCTTCACAGTCCTCTTAACACAAACAAACAACTTCAAATCCGATAACCATATTTATATGGGTGAAGGACGGATGATCTTACTTCAGGTCTTAGAGTTAGAACAGCCATACTCAACCTTTTTTTTATTAAAAAAATCATTATTTTATTATTTATTAAAAAAAATTCTCGTGCGTAAATGAATTTCCCAACGTTAAAAAAAAAGAATATATAATGTAATTCTTTTAAATATCTTGTAAATATATTAAAACAAACGTAATATATCTATACATTCAAATATTGTAAATGTTTAGAATGTATCTATGTATATTAAATAATGTTTTAATTTACTTTTTTAAATTTCTGTTTTTTTTTGTTATTTTAAAACACAAAAAAGTTTTAATTAAATCGTTACGTAGATCTGAAGTTGTAGTTTGAGCTACTTGTTCTGCGCACCACTCATACTTTAAATGCCCAAAACGAGAATGTTATAGATAAATGGCAACATTTATATAGATAAACTAGTGTTCGCCGAGTTGTTGAAATTCCACCACAATCATTATTGAAAATTTGAGGAAAAATATATGAATAGAATTTACCTATCTATTTTTATTGATAACACTGAAAAACACTAAATTGCTACAAATAAAACTGTGATAAATGGAGGAGAAAAAGGTTCTGAGCTGTTTTGTCTTTGCCTATTTTAATATAGATATTTATAAATATTAATATAATTAACATTCATATGCGGAAATTATCGTCTATATCCTCAACTTGAAACTCTATTGATTAGTAAGTCTAATAAAAATACATTCATTGTATACAAAAGATATCATGCAAACGTCAGTAGGTACTACTGTTGTATACTACCACAGATCATATAATATTATACTAGATACTACGTTTTAATTATGCCAGACCATTTTGAGAGACATATAATTTGTTCTGAAACAGTTAAATATAATACCTTAGCTAATTGATGTCAACTCGACAAATGATCGCCAATGTATAATTAAAGTAAACTTGCGAAAACTATAAAACACCAATTAGTAATTAATATTTTACGGAGATATCATATTGCACTAGCTTTTTAGAGTTCCACACCCGGATAGTTGTGATTGTTATATATTTACATGGTTGACAATATTTATAAAACGTTATCTATACATATAATAAAATTGTAACTAAGCCGAATCTGTACATTAAATATTTTTTGGAAAATCTTATTGAAATAAATAGTATTATCGATACAGAGGCCGAATCCATAGTTTTTAGAATTTTTGTCTGTCTGTCTGTATGTCTGTCTGTTTGTTACCGCATCACAGAAAAACCACTAGAGCGATTTTGATGTAATTTTGTATGGTGATAGCTGGGTATCCGGGTCCACATATAGGATACTTTTTACCCTGAGAAAATATCTCATTTCTGAGAAAAAATACAAAGACTGCAATGTAAGAGTATACTAATATGTAAAACCTAAGAATTTGGTTTTTGTTAATTGGAGCCGCGGGCAATGCTAGTAGAATAAACGCAGGATGTGTGTTATTTTGGTCGATGCCATATCGAATGAAATATTTAAAATTAAAAAAATAAGGGGCGTCTCCATACAAAAACCGCGTTTATGGTATTTTGTTTATTGTTGCCTTATAGGGAATAATATATAGGTATCTGTAACGTGTTGAACTTGATGTGATTATTGCAATTCAAATTTTTTTTTGTTCAGTATATTTTTTTTTCGAAACGTTTTCCACCGCCTCGGAAAGAAAAAACTTTAGCCTAGCTTTGTGAACGATTTCTGGTATCTTGTTTAAAAAAAATGTCCATAAAAAGAATTATTGTTTATACACATAGATAAACCGAGTCATAAATATTGTTTATGATTGCTTCTCATATTAATGTCATTCATATCACACTCCTTGGGAAAACCATACATTTTTTTACGAACATCATAACAGTTTCATATACTTATACATAATAAGCAGTGATTAAAAGAACAAATAATGGTAACTGGCTAATTATGTAAGGATTAGTCGGACTTGCAAACTTTTAGTTTCAACTAAAGTGTTAGATTCTTTTTTTATCTCTTCTTTTTTGTTTAAAGGGCCATAACTTTTAGGAACGCGAATTCTAGCGAGAAGAAGAAAAATAAACTACAGCAATACATTACTCAAAATTTTATTCTATTAATTTTATTAATAATACTTAATCGAAAAAAATCTACATAATGATCCAGATCACCAAAAACCAAATTCTTAGGTTTTACATTAGTATACTCTTACATTGAAGATTTTGTATTTTTTTTTTTCAGAAATGCGACATTTACCCGCGGTAAAAAGTATCCTATATGTTGACCCGGATAACCAGCTATCACCATAGCAAATTTCATCAAAATCCCTCCAGTGGTTTTTCTGTTATGCGGTAACAGACAGACAGACAAACAGACACACAGACAAACAAACAAACAAACAAACAAACAAACAAACATAAATAGATTCGGCCTCTGTATCGATAATAATGTTTCTTTCAATAAGATTTACCAAAAATATTTAATGTACAGATTCGGCTTAGTTTCAATTTTATTATATATGTATAGATATGTAGTATCAACTATCTGGTATCCATAACACAAACCTTGTAGCTTACCATGAAACAAGATGTTGCTGTGTGTTAATCTCCAAACATACAATAAAAATATGGGATTTCCTTTATTTAGTTCAACACACGAATGATAATTTTAGAGTAGACTATTTTTGATGTAAACACTTCTAATATTACGTAGGTATGGTGGTATTTGTTAAACTGTGATAAACAACGACGTCTATTTGGGTCAGACTAATATTTTACTCGTTGCGAAAGAGAGATACTATTTTTAAATTAAAAACAAAGTAATTTATCAATCGGCGTAGCAATTTTTCGAGTATGGACGAATATTGCGTGTACGATAGCGTATTTGTTTGCCCAAATTACGACGACACGCTTGGCTCAGTTTGTAGTGACCCTACTTTCTGTGCCAGCGGTCGCGGGTTCGAGTCCCGCTGGGGGCATTCATTTGTGTTATGAAAACGAATGTTTGTACTCCAGTCGTGGTGTTTATATTTATAATATGTATGTATTTAAAGTTATATATTTATAGTTTATCAACTATTTGGTATCCATAATACAGGCCACGTATCTTACCATGGAAATAGATAGTGGTGTGTGTTAACGTCCCAACATATTATTATTATTATTAAATACAAAGTACTTTATCAATCGGTGTAGCAATTTTGCGAGTATGGACGAATATTGAGTGTACGATAGCGTATTTGTTTGCTCAAATTAAACTTATGTTTAACTCAAATTATACTTATTAACGCTCCACTGCTAAGCACTCTACACGAGGGGATCAGCCCTTAATTCACCACGCTGGCCAATTGCCGGTTCACGGACTTGACACGTCGCGGTCGTTAGAAAATTTACTTGGCTCTCTCAGACATGCAGATTTCCTCATGATATTTTCCTTCAGCGTAACACTTGTTAGTGTTATCTAATAATAATTTGAAAAATGTTCCCTACATGAGAGTGACACAGATGCGAAACCCACTGCCCACTCAATTGTTTATAAAAGTATTATTTTTATATATTTATTTTTTGTATATACTTATTGTTTGTATTCACGTAGTAGTAGTGCAAATATGAATATATTTTAAAAGACACCAAGTCTATTCTTATTATACTATCAAGAGGAAAAAACTGTTTGTTTGTTTGTATCGAATAGGCTCCGAAACTAATGAACAGATTTAGATGAAATTTGGTAAGAAGATAGTTTGAAACATAGGATAGTTTTTATCCCGAAAATCATCCCTTAAGGGGGTGAAAGTTTGTATGGGGAAGCAAGCTAAGGACGAACCCGAGCGAAGCGGGGGTAATTCGCTAGTATAATATAAAAATGATTGTCATATTTATAGCTATTCTCGCCAGCTGAAAAATGTAGGCCATAATTTACATACATGTAGAGAACAGCTGATGCTTGTACAAAAGATAATTTAATAAACAAGAAAAAAATCCTAAACAAGGAATAATACCAGATTGCTCATAGATTGTCACCAGTAAAATCTGATATTTTGTTTTATCTAATTGGTTTCCGAGGAGATACGCTAACTCTCTATGACTTAAATCTCATGACTGTCCATCATCCATCCATCTATCTCATAATACAAGGATAAAATTCCGAGTAGACCATACCCCCTATTGATGTGAAATTTGGTACACATACGTATATCGACGTGCTGATTACGAATATGTTACTCAAAATACGCGTATACGAGCAATATGTTTTATTTTCAAGGTCAAATCTAGAACAAATATTTTCAATGTTTTTCGCGTTAACTTGATAAATATT